CTCCGCGAAGGACCCGCACACGGGCTTCCCCTTGCCGGGCGGCCAGGGCTTCGGCCCGCCCGGGCAGTACGACTCCGCCGCGCAGTACGGGCAGCGCCAGCCGCTGCCCGACATCCCTGGCCTCGGCGCGCCCGGGCAGACCGCCGGGCCCGCCGCGGCCGCGGCCCCGCCCGGGTCGGCCCGGGAGCCGTCGCCCCTCGCGAAGAGGATCGCGCGGCCCCCGCAGGCACCGGCGGCGGTGCGGGCGTGACCCCGCGCGGCAGCCCGCGGCCGCGCGCGGGCTCGGTGCCGCGGTCGCGGTCGGCCGAGCGCCCCGCCCTGTGGTTGAATTCTCACTCCTGAATCATAATCATTGTTGATCCCCCCGTCCGGTGCGCACTGTTTTTTTCGATGGAGGTGCGTTTCCTGGGGCTCGCACCCGGTTTTTGATCAGGGAAAGTTTGGAGGGTCAAACTGTGTCGTTGGCCCCCGGTTTACAACAACAACGGCTCCCGCCAGATATTTCTTGACAATTTATTGAAGAATCGCGCTCTCGCTTGGGACTTCCTTGTGATTTACCACCGGATCGCGGCTCCCGCTTGATACTTCCTCACAATTTATTCAGATGCCGGCCCTCGACACTCAGGAATCGCGCTCCCGCTACATATTGCCTGGCGGTTCAGCAGAATTTTCGCTTCAACGACCCGCCCGCTCGACCCGCCCGTCTGGGCCTGCCCGTCCGACCAGCCCGTTAGGGACTGCAGTCGCCGCTCGCTGCCCTTCGCCCGCCTTCGATGCCCCTCGCTGCCCGTACTGGTTCCGCGGTCGCCTTCGCTCGCTGCCCTTCGTGGCCCCGTTGCTGCCCTCAGTGGCCCCGTCGCTGCCCATTGTGGCCCCGCATTATATGCCCTTCTTGGCCCCCGCTCGCAGCCGCCCGTCGTGGCCCCATACGCATGCCCTTCGTAGCCCCGCTGTCGCCCTTCGTGGCCCTCTCGCTGCCCTTCGTGGCCCCTTTGCTGCCCTCAGTGGCCCCGCTGTCGCCCTTTGTGGCCTCATATACGAATGCCCTTCGTGGCCTCCGATTGTTCGCGCCCGACGTGGCCCCATCTGCATGCCCTTCGTGGCCCCGCTGCCGCCCTTCGTGGCCCCCTCTCTGCCCTTCGTGGCCCCGTTTCTGCTCTTAGCGGCCCCGTCGCTGCCCTCTGTGCCCCGGATTAATTTGCCTTCGTGGCCCCCGCTCACTCGCGCCCTTCGTGGTCCCATACTCATGCGTTTCGTCGCCCCGCTGTCGCCATTCGTGGCCCCTTCGCTGCCCTTCGTGGCCCACTTTCTGCGCTCAGTGGCCCCGCTGTCGCCCTTTCCGGCCCCATGTATGTATGCCCTTCGTGGCCCCCGCTCGTTCGCGCCCGTCGTGGCCCCATATACATGCCCTTCGTGGCCCCGCTGTCGCTCTTCGTGGCCCCCTCTCTGCCCTTCGTGGCCCCGTTTCTGCCCTCAACGGCTCCGGCGCTGCCTTGTGCGGCCCCCTATACGCATGCCGTTCGTGGCCCCCGCTCGTTCGCGCCCGTCGTGGCCCGCGCTAACAACGGCTCCCGCCTGATTCTTTCTTACAATGTATTGAAGAATCATGCTCTCGGTTGGGACTTCCTGGAGGCTTCGAATGAAGGCTTCGAATGAAGGCCTCCTTCGACGAGGCTCCCGGGGCGTTCCCGCAGGTTTTCAGAGCCTCTGGAACTGCTCGGTGGTCATCGGGGCCATTCCGAGGCCCCCCAGAGGTCAGAGGAGGCTTTCGGGTGCCTTCCAATCCCCCCGCGCTTTGTTTCCGCACCAGTCTCCGGTCGCAGCCACCTGCCCCTCTTTTTTTTCAAACGTTTTTTTCCCAGTCTTTTTCTGTTCTTTCCCTTTATTTTCATTTTCGTGTCGTTCGTACTCCAGCGTGCTATTTTTCAGTTCTTCGCATTCCGCCCACTCCTCCCCTGGCCACCCCATCCCGCCCCAACAATCTCCACCCCTTCCCGCTCGCATTCCGCATTTCTTCCAAATTATTCCCAGTCCCTCCTCCAGATTCCTCCGTGCGCCCCCCGCTCCACCGCGCTCCTCCCCGTTCCTCTTCTCCACTCTTCGCCGCTCCTCCTCCTGACGCCCTACTCTTGTCCACTCCATCCCAACCCGTTCCACGTCCCCGCGCTCCTCTCGACGCGGTTGCGGTTTTTGCTATCCGTCCGCGCCACTCTCCCAGCATCCCGCTTCTTTTCAGGTTTCCACGAAATTTGTCTCTGACGCCAGTTCGCAGCTGTGCGTCCCCCCGTGGGGGCATCCACGATATGTTCTTTCAAGGGGGGTGTTGCGTGGCGGTGTTGATGGCGCGACCCATGGCGAAACTTATGGTTAACCTGTGTTGGCGTGGCTGGCGCAAACCATGGCGCAATCTGAGTCGCCACTCGCAGCGCAAATCATCGCCCTCCCTCCTTCTTGCCCTTCCCCTCCCTTCCCCCGGTCCCATTCGCTCTCATTCTCTCCCGTTATACGTTGCCCCTCGTTTTCATGGGCTTCGCCAACCGCGCGTGGCCGGGAATGAATATACCCCCCCAAAGGGGGTGCGATCGAATACGAGGAGGGCGGGTGTCCAGGGTTTGGAATGTGCACATTGAATGACACGCGATCAAATAAGAGCGAACAGTCTCAAAATGCGTGTTGTTGTTGATGCTGTTGCTTTTATTGTTGCTGTTGCTTTTGCTGTTGCTGTTGATATTGCTGTTGCTGTTGCGGTTGTTGTTGTTGTTGTTGTTGTTGTTGTTGTTGTTGTTATTGTTGTTGTTGTTGTTGTTGCTGTTGCTGTTGCTGTTGCTGTTGTTGTTGTTGTTGTTGTTGTTGTTGTTGTTGTTGTTGTTGATTTCTCTTTTCGGAAAAATAATTATTGTTGATCCCCCCACCGGTGCATACTGTTTTTTCTCAATCTAAGTGGGCCCTTTGACGCTCGCACCTTCTTTCTGGCAGGGGAAGTCTTCCTGCTCAAACTGGCCCCCTGGCCCCCGGGTTACAACAACAACGGCTCCCGCCTGAGATTTCCTTACAATTTAACCAGGACCACTTTCCCGCCCGATATTTCCTCGCATTTTATTCAGGAGTCGCGCTCTCGCTTGGGACTTCCTTAGAACTTATTCAGGAATCGTTTCCCCGGCGCTCTGGAGTCGCGCTCTCGCTGGAGACTTGCTTGCAACTTACTGAAAAATAGCCTTGCGTTGGAATCTCCTGCAATTTGCCCAAGCGCCGCGCTCCCGACACCCAGGCACCCAGGAGTCGCGCCCATTGTGGCCCCATGTGCATGCCCTTCGTGGCCCCGCTGTCGCCACTTGTGTCCCCCTCACTGTCCTACGTGGCCCAGTTGCTACCCTCAGTGGCCCAATAGTTGCCTTCTGTGGCCCCGCATTATCTGCACTTCGTGGCCCCCGCTCGTTCGCGCTCTTTGTGGTCCCATACGCATTCCCTTCGTGTCCCCGCTGTCGCCCTTCGTGGCCTACCTCGTGCCCTTCGTGGCCCTGCTGTCGTTCTCTCTCGCTCTCGCTTTCGCTCGTCGTCGCCGTCGTCGTCGTCGTCGTCGTCGTCGTCGTCGTCGTGGTCTGTCCGTCCCCTGTCCGTCCCTCTTGGGGTCGGGTCGACGGTCCGCGGCCGCCCCGCCGATCTGCGCTGCCGCTGGCCAGGCCGACGGTCCGCGGCCGCCCCGCCGCTTGCCGGGGCCCGGCCTGCAGGGAAGAAAGGTATACCCTCCAAAAAGGGTTCGATCGAAAACGAAGAGGGCGGGTATCGAGGGTTTGGGAAATGCGCGTTATTGGATACTCGAGCAGATAAGGGCGAACAGTCTTAAAATTATTGTTGTTTGTTGTTGTTGCTGCTGCTGTTGCTGTTGTTGTTCTTGCTGTTGCTGTTGCTGTTGTTGTTGTTGTTGTTGTTGTTGTTGTTGTTCTTTTTCTGACCCTCTCATTTCTGACAGAAATTGTTTCTGATCCCCCCCGCCAGGTGCACATGGTATTTTTTCGATTGAAGTCCCCCTCCCAGGGCTCGCATTCGTTTTTTCACCATGGGGAGTCTTGAGGGTCAACATGTGTCGTTGGCCACCGGTTTACACTAACAGCGGTTCCCGCCGAGTATTTCTTCACAATTTATTGAACAATCGCGCTCTCGCTTGGGACTCCCAAGCAGTTTACCACCGAATCGCGGCTCCCGCCTGATACTTCCAGACAATTTATTGCAGAATCGGTTCTCGCTTGGGATTCCCTCGCAACTTACCACCGAACCGTTTCGCTTCACATTTCTTCACAATTTATTCAGATGCCGGTCCTCGACTCTCCAGAACTTGCGCTCCCGCCCCTTTTTTCGTGGCGGTTCAAGCAGGACTCACGCTTCAACGACCCGCCTGCTCGACCTGGCCGTCGAGGCCTATCCGCCCGACCAGCCCGTTAATGACTGCAGTTGCCGCTCGCTGCCCTTCACCCGCCTTCGATGCCCCTCGCTGCCCGTAGTGGTTCCGCGGTCGCCTTCGCTCGCTGCATTTCGTGGCCCCGTTGCTGCCCTCAGTGGCCCCGTCGCTGCCCTTTGTGGCCCCGCATTGTATGCCTTTCGTGGCCCCCGCTCGCACGTTCCCGTCGTGGCCCCATACGCATGCCCTTCGTAGCCCCGCTGTCGCCCTTCGTGGCCCCCTCGCTGCTGGAGCCCTTTTCTTTATTGCTTGGGGCATGACGGGCGTCATGGCTCCGGGACCCCCCCCCTCTATGACGTAACTTCCCCCGCCCCCGTGCGATTCGGGCAGTGCCGCCGTGCGCATCGAGATTTGCATAAGTGTCCGCATAGGAATCCGCATAGGAGTCTGGTCCGCAGTCGTCGTCGTCGTCGTCGTCGTCGCTCGTCGCTCGTCGCTCGTCGCTCGTCGCTCATCGTCGTCGTGCGCGCGGACGCAGCTGGATGATATTTTTTATTCCAAGCCGATGACGGCAATCATCTGGGGGGGTCGAGGGGGTCGATGACGTCACGTTTCGCGCCGACGGCGTTTGGGAATGTCTAGGAATCACCGAAGACGGGTAGCAGCAGCATGTCGGTGGCGATTTGCACCACAACGCCTGTGTAAACGATGGTGCCTGCGTGCACCACATCGCTTGTGTACACCACGCCGCGTATGTACACCATTGCAGCCGCGTGCATCACAGCGCCAGTGTGTGCCACAGAGCCTGTTGGCACCACAGCGCTTGTGTACACCACAGCGCTTGCGTACACCACTTCAGCCGTGTGCGACACAGCACCAGTGTACACCACAATGCCCGCGTGTACTCAGCACGGTACCAGTGAATTGACTATTCTGCGGTGCGCGCTGAGACGCGCACGTGCGCTGTAGTGCCGGCCCGCACGGCAGAGGGGAAGGGGAAAAAGAGGAGGAGGAAAATGAGCACGAAGAGGAGGAGGACGAGGAGGAGGAGGTGGAGGTGGAGGAGGGAGGAGGGAAAAACGTCGCATTCAATTCTCAACATGGCCTTGGCGTGGCGTTTGGCTGGCCTCACCAGGTCCTCACCGACATGCTGTTTGTTCTTGTCTTGTGCACGCAGGCGCTCTGGTGTACACCAACGCTGCGTTGCACGCGGATGCTGTGGTGTAGACAGGCGCCGTGGTGTGCACAGGCGCTGCGGTGCACGTAAGCATTGTGGTGTAGATTGTCGCTGTGTTGCGCATGGCTGCTGCGGTGTACACAATCGCTTTGGTGTACACCGGCGCTGTGGTGCACGCAAGCACTGTGGTGTACACAGGCGCTGCGTTGCACACGGCTGTTGCGGTGTACGCAGGCGCTGTGCTGTACACGAACGCTGTGGTGCACGCGAGCACTGTGGTGTACACAGGCGCTGTGGGGCAGATCGGCGCCTGCATGCTGCTCGCGTCGTCGTCGTCGTCGTCGTTGTCGTCGTCGTCGTCGCTCGTCGTTCGTCGTTCGTCGCTCGTCGCTCGTCGCTAATCGTCGTCGTGCGCGCGGGCGCGGGTGTTGCGCCGGAGCCGCACGGCGGGAAGGGTGGGGGGGCGTCATGTCATTACTTTCCCCCGCCCCCCCCCCCCATGACGTTCGTCATCGCCGATGGCAAAGAGACGCGCTCCTGTCGCCTTTTGTGGCCCCGTATACGAATGCCCTTCGTGGCCCCCGCTCGCTCGCGCCCGTCGTGGCCCCATATGCATGCCCTTCGTGGCCCCGCTGTCGCCCTTTGTGGCTCCCTCGCTGCCCTTCGTGGCCCTGGTGCTGCCCTCAGCGGCCCCGCTGTTCCCACGATTTACTTGGGAATCGCGCTATCGCTCGAGACTTTCTCGCGATTCATGCAGGACCCACGCTTCAGCAACCCGCCTGCTCGACCTCGTCGCCTGGGCCCGTCTTCCCGACCTGCCCACTATGGGTTTGCCCACCCTATCTGCCCTTCTGGTTCTACTACTTGTTTTCTGCATCTTGCCCCCATCCTGCTAATGTCTTTCGTGCTCCATTCTTCTCCCTTTCCCCCCCACCGGTCCTCTCTTCCCTTGCTTTAGGGGCTGCACTAATTACACGTGGCAGGTAAGGAAGATATGCCCCCAACGGGTACGATCGAAGACGACGAGGGCGGGTACCGAGGGTTTGGGATATACGTGTTGATCAGCACGTGAGCAGATAGGAGCGAACAGTCTTAAACTGATTGTTGTTGTTGTTGTTGCTGCTGCTGCTGTTGTTGTTGTTGTTGTTGTTGTTGTTGTTGTTGTTGTTGTCGTTGTCGTTGTTGTTGTCGTTGTCGTTGTCGTTGTTGTTGTTGTTGTTGTTGTTGTTGTTGTTGTTGTTGTTGTTGTTGTTGAACTTTCATTTCTGAAGAATAATTATTGTTGATCCCCCCGTCCGGTGCACATTTTTTTTTCGATTGAAGTGCCCTTCCCGGGGCTCGCACCCTGGTTTTTATCAGGGAAAGTCTTGAGGGTCGGGCTGCGTTGTTGGCTCTTGGTTTACAACAGCAATAACAACAACGGCTCCCGCTTGATATATCCTCATCAGTTATTGTAGAATCACGCTCTCGCCTTGCATTTCCTTGCAATTTACCACCGGATCGCGGCTCCCGCTTGATACTTCCTCGCAATTTATGCGCTCTCGCTTAGGACCTACTCGCAACTTACCACCGAATCGCGGCTCCCGCTTGATACTTCTTCACAATTTATTCAGATGCCGCTCCTGCAACATTTTCGCTTCAACGACCCGCCCGCTCGACCCGCCCGTCTGGGCCTGCCCGCCCGACCAGCCCGTTAATGACTGCAGTTGCCGCTCGCTGCCCTTCACCCGCCTTCGATGCCCCTCGCTGCCCGTAGTGGTTCCGCGGTCGCCTTCGCTCGCTGCCCTTCGTGGCCCCGTTGTTGCCCGCAGTGGCCCCGTCGCTGCCCATTGTGGCCCCGCATTATATGCCCTTCGTGGCCCCCGCTCGCAGTCGCCCGTCGTGGCCCCATACGCATGCCCTTCGTAGCCCCGCTGTCTCCCTTCGTGGCCCTCTCGTTGCCCTTCGTGGCCCCTTGGCTGCCCTCAGTGGCCCCGCTGTCGCCCTTTGTGGCCCCATATGCGAATGCCCTTCGTGGCCCCCGTTCGTTCGCGCCCGTCGTGGCCCCATCTGCATGCCCTTCGTGGCCCCGCCGTCGCCCTTCGTGGCCCCCTCTCTGCCCTTCGTGGCCCCGTTTCTGCCCTCAGCGGCCCCGTCGCTGCCCTCTGTGGCCCCGGATTCGTTTGCCTTCGTGGCCCTCGCTCGCTCGCGCCATTCGTGGTCCCATACGCATGCGTTTCGTCGCCCCGCTGTCGCCATTCGTGGCCCCCTCGCTGCCCTTTATGGCCCACTTTCTGCGCTCAGTGGCCCCGCTGTCGTCCTTTGCGGCCCCATATATGTATGCCCTTCGTGGCCTCTGCTCGTTCGCGCCCGTCGTGGCCCATATGCATGCCCTTCGTGGCCCCCCTGTCGCTCTTCGTGGCCCCCTCTCTGCCCTTCGTGGCCCCGTTTCTGCCCTCAGCGGCTCCGTCGCTGCCTTCTGCGGCCCCCTCTACTCGTCTCCACTCCTTGCCGTTCGTCCTCCTGAGACCCTACTCTTGTCCACTCCATCCCAATCCACTCCACATCCCCGTGCTCCTCTCGACACGGTTGCAGTTCTCACTATCCTTCCGCCCCGCGCTCCCGACATCCCGCTTCTTTTCAGGGTTCCACGACATTTGTTTTTGACACCAGTTCGCAGCTGTACGTCCCCCCGCGGGGGTATCCACGATATGTTCTTTCAAGGGGGTGGTACGTGGTGCTGTATATGGCGCGACCCATGGAGAAACTTATTGTTCACTTGTGTTGGATTGGCTGGCGCAAGCCATGGCGAAATCTGAATTACCGCTCGCAGCGCAAATCGTCGTCCTCCCTTCTTCTTGCCCCTCCCCTCCCTTCCTCCGATCCCTTCGCTCTCATTATCCCCCGTTATCTATTACCCTGCGTTTTCAATGGTTTCGCCAACCGCGCGTGGCAGGGAATGAATGTACCCCCTCCGAAAAAAAAGGGGGTACGATCGAATGCGAAGGGGGCGGGTATCCAGGGCTTGGGATGTGCGCACTGAGTGACGCGCGAACATATAAGAGCGAACGGTATTAATATGACGGTTGTTGTTGTTGTTGTTGCTGTTGTTGGTGTTGTTGAGGTTGTTGTTGAGGTAGTTGTTGTTGTTGCTGTTGCTGCCGTTGTTGCTGTTGTTGATGATGCTGTTGTTGTTTTGGGTTCTTGTTGTTTGCGGCCTCTGGGGTCACAGTGCCTGGTCGAAGAAATGCCCAACCAGAAAAACGTCCCTTCGGAATGGGCCGAAATACCTTCAGGATATCTACGCTGCGAGGAAGTCACGTCGACGGGGTTCCGGGTCCCTCGCCAGCCAAGGAGGCATTTTTTGGAAAGTCCGGCGAGTTTGCTTGCGTGGCAAGGGGGGTGGGGCGAGGCGGCACCCGAAACGAATTCTGCACTCCACGCAGGTCAGGACTCGCTTGCCCTTTTTTTCCCCCGACGCTGCTTGAAACACTGGCGGATGGGGAGGGGGGGCCGGGGGGTGCTAAAGGTGCTTCTGGCTCCAGGAGCCCCCAGCTGTTCGCTCCATTTTGGAACCCCTGGGGGTCCTGGGCCTCGTGAGGGTGCTCTGGAGGCCGCGGGGGCCTCCTTGGAAATCCTGAGGGCACCTTGGGCCAGGGTCGCATCTAGCAGCACACGAGGGGAAAGGAGAAAGGGCACCCATGCAAACGACCTTGCTTGCGTCTGCAGAAAACCAACCCACAAAACGCAACCACGTCGCGTGTTCGCGCAGGCGCCTGGCCTCGCGCCGCCGGCCGTCGCCTGGCGTCGCGCCGCCGGCCAGGCCACCCCCTCCCAGCCCCTCTTCTCTCCCAGCCTTCCTCATCCGCCTCCTCCTCCTCCTCCTCCTCCTTCTCCTCCTCCTCCTCCTTTTCCTCCTCCTCCTTCCCTCCTCCAGGTGCTTTGGCTCAAGATCGCTTCGCAGGCGCCGTCGCGTCGGCCGCAGCGGGTCCGATGTCGGCGGCGAACGTGGCCCGCACCGCGGCGCTCGAGTTGACGCGCGGTGCGCTCCTCGCGGCGCTTTCGGCTGCTGGGCTGGCAACGGGCTGCCCTGAGCTGCGCGAGCCTTTGCGCTTGCTCAGGGCTGCCGAGGGCATGCTGCGCGCGGCAGCGGCCTTGCTGGCCAGGCCTGCCCCTCCCGCGTCGCATGCGGCGCCCCCCGCGGTGGCCGCGGCTACCCCTCGGCGGCGGCGGCGCGCCCGCAGCAGCGGCGGCCAAAAGAGCGGGGTGCGGGGCGGCCAGCACGGCGCCGCCGCCAGCGACGGCATGGTCTTGGAGAGCGCGACGGAAACGGGCGCGGCCGCTGGGGCGGCAGCGGCGCCCGTGCCCATGCTTGAGGATGGCTCCTGGGCCGATGGCCTGGTGAGGTCCGCTGCGGGTTCGCGGCGGCAGTGCTTCGTCGGGCGCTTGATGGCTCACGGTGCGTCGCCGGTCGCGATCAGCCGTGCCGCGGACGAGCAGATGGAGAGGCTCGTCTCGTCCATGGATGCGCTTTCGGAGGCGGGCGCCGAGCTGCACGTGCCGCGCGCGCGGGCGGCCGGCTCCGGATGGTTTGGGGGAGGACGATCATGCTGTGCCTGGGCAGGGCCGTCCTTCCCCCAACGCGGTCGCCGACGGCGTCCTCTTATCGCTCGGACTCCTCGTGTTCGAGCTCCTTTGAGCTCCCGCCCAGGCCGCGTTCGGCGTCGGGCACGGTCCGCTTCGTCGTGTTTCTTCTTTTTCTTCTTCTTCTGCTTCTTCTTCTTCTTCTTCTTCTTCTTCTTTTTTTCCTCCTCTTCCTCCGACTCCTCCTCGTCGTCCTCCTCGTCTTCGTCCTCCTCCTCCTCCTCCTCTTCCTTCTCCTTCTCCTCCTCCTCTTCCTCTTGCTCCTCCTTCTCCTCCTCCTCCCTCTCCTCTCAGCCGCCGCGACAGCCCTGGCCCCCCTTTGCCGTGAGGCGGTCCTCCGTAGTCGCGCTGAGGGATGATGGGGGCAGCCGGGGGGTCGGCGCGCTGACGGCGGTGTGCCGCATCCCCATTGCTGGGGAGACAGGCCTGCTTGCCGCCGCTCCGTCGGGGCATGTCCTCTGCGCGATACGCGCTCGGAATGGCGGCGACGGTGAAGGTGGAGTTCGGATCTGCCTGCGGCGCCCCCCCCCGGGTGGGAGCTCACGGGCCCAACTGCGTCGCCACCACCAGCGTGTGCTTCTTTTCCGATGTGGCGCAGCCGTGGCGGGCCTTCCTGGTCTGGTTCCTGCGCCCTCCTTCTTCGCGAGTTCGGCGCCCGTCGACACCGAGTACAGCATCCAGTGCGTGGAATGCCCGATGTTAGCTGTGTTCCCGCGGCCGTTCGTGCTCGAGTCCGTGGAGTTCTTGGCGATCGAGAACCTCAGGCCGCCGCTGTCCTTGGGTGATACGCGTTGGCCAAATCCTGTCCAGCTCGAGGGGGAACCCGCGGCCCAGTCGAGCATCGCCAGGGACGTGGCGGCGAGCGCCAGTTCTGCGGACTTGCCGACGGACGACGACGCGGTGATACCCCCGCTGGAGCTTGTGACGGAAGGCCCCCCCGTCGGAGCGCGAGGATTGCTTGGTGAGGGCTGTCGACGGCGTGTTGGACGACTGGGGGGATGTTGCTGGCCCTGGCGTGGGACGGCTTGCATTATCCGCTGTGCTGACGACGCGCTAGTCGATCCCCGAGCTAATCGTCCGTTTGCTGGAGCAGTCGAGCGATATCAGCTCCGAGATTACGTTGGTTCTCGACGAGGTGCCGCGACTTCTGGGACCAGCCTGGCGGGGCGATTGCACTCCATGGCGCTGTAGAAGACATATCACCTCTTCGATGGCTGAGGATCGACGCTCTTAAGGCGTAGCGGGGCATGTGGTCACCGATGCGCCTGCTGCTTGACGTTGTGCACGGTGGAATCGACGCGCTGGCTGGAGGCTGGAGGCTGGGCTGCAGCAGTTTCGTTTCGAAGTGTGCCTGCGCGCCGTGCCCCGCTCCGAGGCGCGGCTAACGCGGCCGCAGGCACCCGCCATATGACGTGTAAGGGCGTTGCCTCGGACAGCGAGCTCGGGTGGTGAGCCCCTCGCAATTGTTTTTGTTTGCTCGTGGTTGCTTTTCCCTTCGCTCGCCCTCTCTCCTCGCGCCCCTCGGCCCCTCGGTTTGCCCGTCGGTCCCCGGGCGCAGCGTGCTTCGCCGGGGTCGCGCGGCCTTTGGCATCTCGACTAATATCGGAGCGCGCAGACCCTAGGAAACTCCAAGTGATCCGTGGCGCATCCCTTGGCGCGTCCCGTGCCGCGTCCCGTGGCACGTTCCCTGACGCGTTCCCTGGCACTTCCGCTTAGCGTGTCTCCTAGCACGCTCCCTGGGGCGTTTTGTGACGCGTCCCGTGGCGCGTCCCCCTGGCACGTCCCGTGGTACGTCCACTGGCGCGTTCCGTAGCGCGTCCTCTTGGCACGTCCCGCGGTCCCCATGGCACGTCCCCTGGCACGTACCCTGGCGCGTCCCTTGGGACGTTCCGCGGCGCGTCCCCTCTGGCATGTCCCTCTGGCATTGCCCAATTGCATATGCAATGGAGGTCTCTGGAAACGGTTCCATGCCTCGCAGTTCCGAATCCTTTTCTGGGTTGTTGGGCCGATCATGTTTGGAATGCGCTAGCGGTGCAGCACCCTCAAGGTTACCACCCTCCTGGGAGCCAGCAGCATGACGAGTGCCCTCTAGATCATATCGTATGTGTCCGTAATATTTGAAAACAAAGTGTTGCCATGCTAGCACCCTCCAGGGTGCCACCTTCCTGTGATTTGGGCTCCCTGCGTCGCCTTGCACTTGAGCGGCCATGGCCCGCCTTCGCGCCGCTTCTGCAGTACAGCAGATCGTGGCGTTAAGACTGCGGTGATGACGCCAATCTTAGTGGATGTGGCTTCAGCTGTCGATATGTCGGAGACCACGTCGATTCTGTCGATTCTTATAGGCTGCCCGTCAGACTCGTCGACGTCGGGCCAAACATCCCCAGCGGCGTCCTTGTCCTCCGTGCCCAGTCCGAAATAATAGCGCCACCCACGCTGGAAGTAATGACCTCGCCGTTGGCCTCTGCCCCTTCGCTGCTTAAGAAGGTGACAAGTTGTCACCCTCCTGGCAGCTAGCTCCCTGATTTTGGTGCTGGCGCCCCACTGCTATAAGATAGGCGTCAGCAGCAGTGCCGCCGACCCTGAAGGCGGTACCTCCTAGGGAACCCCGGCTGGCGACCCCCCGGGTCCCGCCTGGACCCCAGGGGGGGCGGTATTCTGACCTGGGACCCTCCCCCGCCACTCAGACGGGACCTCCCCCACGACCCCCTTCCAGGACTGCCCCCTACGTGGGCCCCCCCCGCGTGTCTTCCCTGTCCACGGGGGGACCGACGAGGGGAGGGGGTGCTGCTGGGACCCGGGGGGGGCAGTAATCTGCCCCGGGGCCCTCCCCCCTACCTCCCCCCCTTCGCCCTCTACCGCTCCCCCCCCCGTCAGGGAGGGAAAAAGGGGAGGCAATCGACTTGATTACGATGCTATTGGCGACGACGTCGATGAAGGCGACGACAGTGTCTCACACACGCTGAAGGGTCGCACTAAAGTCGCCAGTAGGGAAAGTTCAATCGCGGCCGACGCGGCTAGATTTAGTGCTGCAGGAAAGTAGCCTGCTCCGCACTCGCAGTGGGGGCTCGGAAGAGCCCCTCCACTGATCAGGGGCCGCGTCGAAGGTGAATCCGTCCCCGCACTAGCGAGGCACGGGACACCGACGCGCCGCGTCCTGAGCGGCACAGGGAGGAAGCACCAGCATTGCATGTTTGTCGATTGCAGCGGCATTGAAATGCACATCAAAAATTGGCGGGGGCTGCGGGCTGGATCATTGAAACATTTCTGCAGCCGTCGCTTCGATGATGTTCCAGGCTCGGTACGCGACCCAGGGGAAGTGCCGCTCCCGGCCGAAGGAGTATTGTGCTGTGCAAGGGAGTAGTTTTCGCAGGCGCGCTGCGAAAATCAGCTCTGGCCCACCCCTCCGCAGGGGTTTTGCTGTCCGGTGTGGTTGAGCTTCTGACAGCCGTGGCTGTATTTTTTGCATCTGCCGTCGCTGTGGGTCAGAGGAGGAAGAGGTAGCGATACTGCTACACTTCCCTCGTTTCGGCTTTTTGGGAACTCCTGGGAGGCCCTCGTCGCCACGGGTGGATTTGCCTCACAACTCTGGTCAGATCGTACCACGGGATAGGCCCAGGAATAATAATACTAATAATAATCATAATAATTATAATAACATGTACTTTTACCTTTTGGTTTCCCGTTTGGAGCTGTCGCTGGGGTTGATGCGCCAGCAGTGCCAGATCGATTGTCCAGCCCGTGTCACAGCAGCTGTACACCTCGAGTAGACGTGATGTGTAGAACTTTCGCGCTCGCGCGCCGCAAGCCCAAGGCGGCGCAGCGCTTCGGCAGCGGCCGGTGCACCTGCCGTCTCTGGTCTGGGTCTCAGCTTCGGGCGGCAGCGAGAGTAGAGTTAAGTCGGGCCCGTCCCTCTACAGGAGGAATATTCAAGAATAGTGAAAACATAGTCTGCATTTTGGAATATTTCCAAACCATCCTCTGGTGTTGGGTCTTCGTTTTGAAGAGACAGCGCCCCGCGTCCCACCTCCTCTCCTCCTCCCCCTCCTCCCCTCCCATCACATCATCATCATCATCATCATCATCATCATCATCATCATCATCATCATCATCATCATCATCATCATCATCATCATCATCATCATCATCAGCATCATCATCATCATCATCATCATCATCATCATCATCATCATCATCATCATCATCATCATCATCATCATCATCATCATCATCATCATCATCATCATCATCATCATCATCTACATCATCATCGTCATCATCATCATCATCAGCATCATCATCATCATCATCATCATCATCCCCTCCCCTTCCCCACACCATCGTCACCATCATCACCATCACCCAGCATCCATCAGCTTCATCATCTGCAGCATCATCCTCATCCACACGTTTTGTGGCCCCATAGGAGCTCCGCCGAAGGTCCCAGTGGCACAGTTCGCATGCGTCCTCCCCGCCCACCGCAGGCCCATTTTGGTACACCCCTCACACGTTTCGTGGCCCCATAGGAGCTCCGCCGAAGGTCCCAGTGGCACAGTTCGCATGCGTCCTCCCCGCCCACCGCAGGCCCATTTCGGAAAACCCCTCACACGTTTCGTGGCCCCATAGGAGCTCCGCTGAAGGTCCCAGTGGCACAGTTCGCATGCGTCCTCCCCGTTCACCGCAGGCCCATTTTGGCACACCCCTCACACGTTTCGTGGTCCCATAGGAGCTCCGCCGAAGGTCCCAGTGGCACAGTTCGCATGCGTCCTCCCCGCCCACCACAGGCCCATTTTGGAACACCCCTCACACCGAAGGTCCCAGTGGCACAGTTCGCATGCGTCCTCCCCGCCCACCGCAGGCCCATTTTGGAACACCCCTCACACGTTTCGTGGCCCCATAGGAGCTCCGCCGAAGGTCCCAGTGGCACAGTTCGCATGCATCCTCCCCGCCCACCGCAGGCCCATTTTGGTGACCCCTCACACGTTTCGTGGTAGGAGCTCCGCCGAAGGTCCCAGTGGCACAGGCAGCTCCGCCGTCCCCTGGTGGCACAGTTCGCATGCGTCCTCCCCGCCCATCGCAGGCCCATTTTGGCACACCCCTCACACGTTTCGTGGCCCCATAGGAGCTCCGCCGAAGGTCCCAGTGGCACAGTTCGCATGCGTCCTCCCCGCCCACCGCAGGCCTACTTTGGCACGCCCCTAGCACGCTTCGTGGCCCCATAGGAGCTCCGCCGGAAGTCCCAGTGGCACAGTTCGCATGCGTCCTCCCCGCCTCCCGCAGGCCCATTTTGGTATTCCTCTCACACGTTTCGTGGCCCCATAGGAGCTCCGCCGAAGGTCCCAGAAGCACAGTTCGCATGCGTCCTCCCCGCCCACCACAGGCCCATTTTTTCACACCCCTTACACGTTTCGTGGCCCCAGAGGAGCTCCACCGAAGGTCCCAGAGGCACAGTTCGCATGCGTCCTCCCCGCCCGCCGCAGGCCCATTTTGGTAACTCCTCACACGTTCCGTGGCCCCATAGGAGCTCCGCCGAAGGTCCCAGTGGCACAGTTCGCATGCGTCCTCCCCGCCCACCGCAGGCCCATTTTGGAACACCGCTCCCACGTTTCGTGGCACCATAGGAGTTCCGCCGAAGGTTTCAGTGGCACAGTTCGCATGCGTCCTCCCCGCCCACCACAGGCCCATTTTGGCACACCCCTCACACGTTTCGTGGCCCCATAGGAGCTCCGCTGAAAGTCCCAGTGGCGCAGTTCGCATGCGTCCTCCCCGCTCACCGCAGGCCCATTTTGGAACACCGCTCCCACGTTTCGTGGCCCCATCGGAGCTCCGCCGAAGGTCACAGTGGCACAGTTCGCATGCGTCCTCCCCGCCCACCGCGGGCCCATTTTGGCACACCCCTCACACGTTTCGTGGCCCCACAGGAGCTCCGCCGAAGGTCCCAGTGGCACAGTTCGCATGCGTCCTCCCCGCCCACCGCAGGCCCATTTTGGCACACCCCTCACACGTTTCGTGGCCTCGTAGGAGCTCCGCCGGAGGTCACAGTGGCACAGTTCGCATGAGTCCTCCCCGCCCACCGCAGGCCTACTTTGGCACACCGCTCACACGTTTCGTGGCCCCACAGGAGCTCCGCCGAAGGTCTCAATGGCACAGTTCGCATGCGTCCTCCCCGCCCACCGCAGGCCTACTTTGGCACACCCCTCACACGTTTCGTGGCCCCGTAGGAGCTCCGCCGAAGGCCCCAGTGGCACAATTCGCATACGTCTTCCCCGCCCACCGCAGGCCCATTTTGGCACACCGCTCACACGTTTCGTGGCCCCAGAGGAGCTCCGCCGAAGGTCCCAGAGGCACAGTTCGCATGCGTCCTCCCCGCCCACCGCAGGCCCATTTTGGAACACCCCTTCGCACGTTTCGTGGCCCCATAGGAGCTCCGCTGAAGGTCCCAGTGGCGCAGTTCGCATGCGTCCTCCCCGCCCAACGCAGGCCCATTTTGGCACCCCCCTCGAACGTTTCGTGGCCCCATAGGAGCTCCGCCGAAGGTCTCAGTGGCACAGTTCGCGTGCGTCCTCCCCGCCCACCGCAGGCCCATTTTGGTAACCCCTCACACGTTTCGTGGCCCCATAGGAGCTCCGCCGAAGGTCCCAGTAGCACAGTTCGCATGCGTCCTCCCCGCCCACCGCGCGTTCATTTTTGACAATCTTCATACGTTTCGTGGCCCCATAGGAGCTCCGCCGCAGGTCCCAGTGGCACAGCTCGCATGCGTCCTCCCCTCCCACCGCAGGCCCATTTTGGTACACCCCTCACACGTTTCGTGGCCCCATAGGAGCTCCGCCGAAGGTCCCAGCGGCACAGCTCGCATGCGTCCTCCCCGCCCACCGCAGGCCCATTTTGGCACACCCCTCACACGTTTCGTGGGCCCATAGGAGCTCCGCCGAAAGTCACAGTGGCACGGTTCGCATGTGTCCTCCCCGCCCACCGCAGGCCCATTTTGGCGCACCCCTCACACGTTTCGTGGGCCCATAGGAGCTCCGCCGAAGGTCCCAGTGGCACAGTTCGCATGCGCCCCCCCCGCCCACCGCATGCCGATTTTGGAGCACCCCTCACACGTTTCGTGGCCCCATAGGAGCTCCGCCGAAGGTCCCAGTGGCACAGTTCGCATGCGTCCCCGCCACCTGTGTCGGCACACCCCTCGCACGTTTCGTGGCCCCATAGGAGCCCCGCCGGAGGTCTCAGTGGCACAGTTCGCATGCGTCCTCCCCGCCCACCGCAGGCCCATTTTGGCACACCCCTCACACGTTTCGTGGCCCCATAGGGTTCCGCCGAAGGCTCCTCCCCGCCATTAATTTCGGCACACCCCTCACACGTTTTGTGGCCCCATAGGAGTTCCGCCGAAGGTCCCAGAGGCACAGTTCGCATGCGTCCCCGCCATTCATGTCGGCACACCCCTCACACGTTTCGTGGCCCCATAGGAGCTCCGCCGAAGGTCGTAGTGGCACAGTTCGCATGCGTCCCCGCCATTCATGTCGGCACACCCCTCACACGTTTCGCGGCCCCATAGGAGCTCCGCCGAAGGTCCCAGAGGCACAGTTCGCATGCGTCCCCGCCAGTCATTTCGGCACACCCCTCACACGTTTCGTGGCCCTATAAGAGCTCCGCCGAAGGTCCCAGTGGCACAGTTCGCACGCGTCCCCGCAATTCATTTCAGCACACCCCTCACACGTTTCGTGGCCCCATAGGAACTCCGCCGAAGGTCCCAGTGGCACAGTTCGCATGCGTCCCCGCAGGCCCATTTCGGCACATCCCGCACACGTTTCGTGGCCCCATCGGAGCCCCGCCGAAGGTCCCAATGGCACAATTCGCATGCGCCCTCGCCATTCATGTCGGTACACCCCTCACACGTTTCGTGGCCCCATCAGATCTCAGCCGAGGGTCCCAGTGGCACAATTCGCATGCGTCCGTGCCATTCATTTCGGCACATCCCTCACACGTTTCGTGGCCCCATAGGAGCTCCGCCGAAGGTCCCAGTGATACACTTCGCATGCGTCCCCGCCATTCATTTCGGCACACCCCTCACACGCTTCGTGACACCATAAGAGCTCCGCCGAAGGTCCCAGTGGCACACTTCGCATGCACCCCCGCAGTTCATTTCGGCACACCCCTCACACGTTTCGTGGCCCCATGGGAGCCCCGCCGAAGGTCTCAGTGGCACAGTCCGCATGCGCCCCCGCCATTTATTTTCGGCACACGCCTCACACGTTTCGTGGCCCCATAGGGAACTCCACCGAAGGCACCCGTTGGGCAGTCCGCATGCGTCTCCCTCACCCAGTGCAGCGTTTCGTGGCCCTATATGGAACCCCGCCAAAGGTCACCGTGGCGCAGTCCGCATTGTCGTGTTCGTTCTCGTTCGCGTTGTGTACCACGCCACTCATAGCGGCACACCCCATAGCACCCTGTAGGGGGACACGCCCGATTTAGGAGTAGACAGATCCAGCAGCAGAGCCAGGGCACGCCAGCGGTGTGGTGGCCTCGGCTGTGTCGGCTCTCTTCGGGCAGGCGCGGGCGCGGGCGCGCGGTCCTCCTCGTGGGAGTCAATGCGGGCAAATCCACCCCGAACCCCTATACTCGGCGTTTGCTGAACGGCCCCGTGCGTTTACTCAACAGCGCTTTCTTGTTCGATTCCTTCGTCGGGTGCGTTTCCTAAACGGTTGCGTTGTCGGGGTGCTTATCATCGGGGTGGATCTCCAGCCCTCTTAGGGAGGGCGCCGCGCGTGGGAACCGCCGCGGTCGCCCTGCGCGACGAGAAGGCGGGCCTGTGCGCTCGCACCTCGACCCTCGAGCCTCGAGCCGAACTGGCGACGGGCACTCTTCGAAACCCTCCTTGTCTTCCTCCCAGCCCCCAGTCCTCCTAGGCCTCCTAGGCCTCCTAGGCTGCTCCTCCTTTTCCAAGCATCGGACGTGTCGTCAAGGCGGGCCAGGCGTTACGACCGAGCTTTCCTCTGTACGAGCTCGAAGCTTGAAACGTCCAACAGCCACTTGGATTGAACACGGACGGTTTTCGAAATGGGCCCCCCCCTTCGGTTCTCCCTCCTCCCCCCCCCCTCCTCTTCCGCCGCCTCCCCCCCTCCTCCCCCGTTCCTCCCTCCGCCGCAATTGCTGTAGGCTGTGGCGCGCGCCGTCGAAACGATGATGCGTGCCGCTAGTGCGCACGGTGCGGACCGAACCGCACCCCCACACGCAGCCCCTCTGGGTCCTCCGCCCCCCCCCTGGGCCCCCCCCCGGGAAGGGAGGGAGGGACGGGCGGGGGGGCACGGCGGGAGGCGGGCGGGGGCCAGGGAGGGAGGGAAGGAGGGAGCAGGGTGGCGAGGGAGCGTGGGCGTGCCTTTGGGCCCGCCCGCCCGATCTGTGATTCCACGCCCGGCCGCCTCGCCCGGCCGCCGCCCGGCCGCCCGCGCCCGCCCGCGCCCGCGCCGCCCGCGCGGGCCGCGCGCGCGCCGCGTCCGGGGGCGGACGCGGGCCCTCACTTGGCCGAGAAACGGCGGCGGCGCCCTCCTCGCAGGCCCGGCGCGCGGTCGGCCGAGGCACCGCCGGGAGGCCTTGCAGTCAGAGGCGACGATGGAGGCGAGTAGCCCAAGGGAGAGCAAAGCATGTATTCAGGTGCGCCGATGATCTGTGTCTTCGGCAAGGCTCCTGGGCGAGTACGTGTAATGCCCGCCCCTGGGCTATTCGCCCCTATCGTCGCCGCCGTTACAACGGTCTGAAGCAAGCCAGCGTCTGGCACGCCGTGCCCCCCTGTGTCGGCCAGGCGTAAGAGAGAGACCCTTTGCCGGGGGGAGCTCCGGTGCGGGCCCATGGGGTTGCCCGAACTCGAAGCACGAAGCGGCAGCAGCGGCTTGTTTTGTCCAGGCTTGCTCCCCCCCCCGCCGCGTCCCCAGTTTAGCCGCGCACCAAAGGCCTTCCTTGCCTAGGGTTGTGGAGGACGGTCAATGGAGAGGAAGCATGTTGCCATATCAGTTCCAGATGTCTTAAACATGTGTTAAACATGCGTTAAACATGCTTTCAACGTGTACAACACATGCTTGACACATTTTTACAATATTTTCCCGACATTTTAAACACATCTTTAACTCAATGATAGGACTGTTAGAGTGCCCATTGTCATGGCATCCACAAGCCTAGGGTCATTCTCGTTTTGTCCAGGTTTGCCCCCCCCCCCCCCCACACCCGCGTCCCCGCGTCCCCAGTTTAGCCGCGCGCCAAAGGTCTTTCTTGCCTAGGGTCACTCTCGCGTGTAGCCGACAGTGGCAAACCACATGTGGTGGCGGGTCAGAGACGCGGCGGCCGCGGTGACGTTTGGAGGTTGATAGACCTCCCACCCTGACACGTCGATCAGCGAATTGGCCGTTGTGGGTTCGCGAAAAGGCGTCGCGGCCGTCAATTTTGCGGGTCCAGGTCCGCCGGTTTCGGTCCCTCCCTGTTTTCATTAAGGGGAGGTCTACTAAAGGGAGGTTTGTCCACCGCCGAACGTGTGGCCGGCTCGGTCAATTTGTTAGCGTCCAAAAACCCGGACAGCAGAGGCAGTCCGCAGCGGCGGCGGCGGCGGGCGGCGGCACCCGGGAACGGAAAGAAGCGGCGGACAACGGGCACACATTTGTCGCCCGTTATCCGGCAAGTTGGTTATCTGGCACCTATTGTATTCAACAACGTTATGATCTGGCCAATAGGTGACTTACATATGCATACTTTCACAGTCGTGACCACAGTTTCCTCAGTTTGCTATGATGAAGACCTCTCCCATCTCTCGCAATATTCCTAACATGACATGATGCTGGGATCAGTCGGCGGAGTAGTTTCCGATCCCGGAGACGTTGATAATTCTGTCACCCCAAGACGGGATCGGAAACTACTCCGCGCCAAACCACATCAATTACAGAGCGGGATGCGATTGCGCGCGGAGTAGTTTTAGTAGAACTAATCCGAACTACTCCGCACGAGCGCGTCATTCCAAAATGCAAATTGAAAGAAACTTTTGTCACGGCGATGTATATCAGACAAAATGTCATGGTACATCCGAATATCTGGAGTACTCGTGTCCGTCGCAAAGGCGTAGACAGTGGCGGATCGGAGGCGCGGCGTCCGCGGTGACGTCTCTTCTGCCGCCTCGGCGGCGGTGGCGGCCCAGCCTCTGGGGCCCAGCCTGCGGACCCGTTTTTTTGTCACGGGGGAGTGTGGCCTTGGGAGGGGGGCGGCGCATGCAGGTACTGTTCGGGAGGTGAAAAACACGCACAGACACAAGGACTCGTCGATTCCCAGGAACACATAGGAAGATATTGGAAGGGGGGGGGGGAAGACGCAAATCCAGAAAATCTGAGAAAATATCGGGAACCCTGTTATTTGTGATTTCTTTGTGTGTTCGTGGGCCCCGTTAATTTGTCCTCAGGAGGGGGGAGCGCAGGTACAGTTCAGGAGGGGGAAAAACACAGACACCATGAATCGTCGACTCCCAGGAAAATATGGGAAACTATGGGAATTGGGGGGAAGGCAAACACCCAGAACATGTGGGGAAGTATGGGGAATCCTGATATGTGTGTCTATGCATTTTTGTGTGTCCCAGGGCCCCTTCAACAGTGAGGGCCCGCGCCAAGAAACATCTTGCTTGCCTCCTGGGTGCCCTGGATTTCTTGGCTTTTGATGGTTCTGCGATGGAAAGGGTGGCGTTCCCACACCAAAGATCGATTGACGTCCTGGGGCCTCAGGGTTGGGTTTCTTGTGAAAGGTCTCTTGTGGTCGGGCTCCTACTGTAGACGTTTCCGTGGTGTGGAGGGGCTCTTTAGTAGGAGACAGAAGCCCTACCAGACAGCCCTTGGCATCCTTCCACGCTTCGAGGTGCAGAAGGCACTGTGGCGGATAACCCCCCTCCCATCCCCCTGGCAGCCTCATCGGCGATCCAAGTTAGATTCGGCGGCGAGCGAGGGGGGGAAGTGAGAAGGATAATGCCTTCTCAGAAGGCGGCGGGACTTCTCAGAAACCCGCGCGCCTTCTGAGAGGTTTCCTGTGTCTTCCCGGACGGCTCACAACACTTCTCGGAGGGCTGGGTGACCTCCGAGCCTTCGGAGAAGGCCCGCCCCTTTTCGCTTCCCCCCCGGGCTCGCCGCCGAAGGATAGGCGGCATCGGCGGCGGCCGCGGCGACGTCTCTTCTTCGCCTCGGCGGCGGCGGCGGCGACGCTCCGCCCGACCTGCGGGCCCGGCCCGAGACGGCGCCCCCGTGCGCCCGCGGGGGCTGCCCTTGCCCGCGCCAGCCGCGCCATCCGCACCGGCCGCGCCGGCCGCGCCGGCCGCGGGCAGGCCTCGGCCGCCGCCGCTCAGGAGGGGAAAAATGACACAGACACAATTCATCGTCGATTCCCTAGAAGATATGGGAAAATACTGGCAGTGGGGGGGAAGACGAAAACCCAGAAAGGATGGGAGGATCTGGGGAATCCTTTTGTTTCTGTGTATCTGTTTGTGTGCCCCAGGGCCCCTTCCGCCGCCGTCGGAGGATCGCCGCTGCGCTCGGGTCGGACGCAGCCGGACCGAGGCTCCGGGCGTTCCGGAGGGGGCTCGGGGCATATGAGGTCGGAGGATCGCGCCGCACCGCCGATGCGTCGGCGAGTCGGCTCGACGTGGGGCCTGGTTTTCTCCACGCATCGCCGACGTCGCCGGTGCATCGCCGGCGCGATTCTCCGACCTCGTGTGTTCCGACCCCATGTGGGAGGCCTCCAGAACTGGGTCCGGGGCTGGGGTTTCTCCATAACCATTGCCTGGGGGGTCGATTTCGGGGATTTCGGCAGGCGGTGGATATGGATATATTCGGGCACCGGGGGCCGAAATAGATCCATATCCACGGCCGCTGGGGTCCTGTCGTCGGTTCCCCAGGCGGGTCGAACGAAGCCTGAGATCCGGCCGTTGCAATTTCTTCGAGTCGGGCGTTTTTGCTTGGTTTCGGGCCCTGGGTGTCTAGGGCTCCAGTCGTGTGTTTTCGCGATGCTGCAAGTTGGTCGCAAGGTCAGATCTCGGGGAAAGGGAGGGATAGGCACAGGAGGGGTTACGAAATCTGCTGCATGCAGCTGGTTTCGGCGTGGTCGATGCGTTGGCACCTCCCGGCGCCACGAGGCGCTGGGAGAACCAGCAAAATCAGCTGATTCGCTAACCCCCCCCTTTACAACCCCTCCTTTTCGTCCAACCCGATAATCAGTCGTATGCTCAGCATCGTCTAATCGATCCCCACTGCGCACTGAGCCAAGTTATCTTAGCCCCACCAGCCTGCCCCCCCTTGGTGGTGATAGGTCCCGCGAAACCCAAACCCAGACCACTTAGCGTCGTGAACAGCGTCACGACGGGAGGTTTTTCCCTAACCATCCTGTGGTGTTGGGTCTTCGTTTTGAAGAGACAGCGCCCCGCGTCAATCCCTCCTCCCTTCTCCCCCTCCTCCCTCCTCCCATCCCTGCCTCTGCCCTCCGCAGTCCTCTCACTCATCATCATCATCATCATCATCATCATCATCATCATCATCATCATCATCATCATCATCATCATCATCATCATCATCATCATCATCATCATCATCATTATCATTATCATCATCATCATCATCATCGTCATCATCATCAGCATCAGCATATATCATCATCAGCAGCATCATTATCATCATCATCACCATCACCATCATCATCATCATCATCATCATCATCATCATTATCATCATCATCATTATCACCATCGCCATCATCATCATTACCATCATCGTCATCATCAACACCATCGCCATCATCACCATCACCATCATCATCATCAACATCGCCATCATCACCATAATCACCATCACCACAGTCATCATCAGCATCATCATCACCACCATCATCATCATTATCATCATCATCGTCATCATCGTCACCATCATTGCCATCATCATCAGCAGCATCATCACCATCACCATCATCTTCATTACCACTATCATCATCACCATCACCACAATCATCACCATAACCACCATCATTATCATTATCGCCATCATCATCGCCATCACCACCATCATCATCACCGCCACCATCACCATCATCACCATCATCATCAACAGTATCATCATCATCATCATCATTATTATCATCATCATAAACAAGACCAAAAGCAGCAGCAACATCAACAGCAACATCATCAACATCACAACCACCACCACCATCACCATCACCACCATCACCATCACCACCATCACCATCATCATCATCATCATCATCATCATCATCATCATCATCATCATCATCATCATCATTATCATTATCATCATCATCATCATCATCATCATCATCATCATCATCATCATCATCATCATTATCGTCACCACCACCACCCGCATCATCGCCACCATCATCAGCAGCAGCATCATCACCATCACCATCATCTTCATCATTATCATTGATCTTGTATCACCTCCTCT